CCTGTTGACGATCCCTGACGAAACGATCTTGTCGGGGCTCATGTTAAAATCGGCTCCAATGATAGTGGGAAGGCCTACCTGCTCAACGACCGTGCCAACACATGCAAGGAGCTCCACGTTGGCCTCCGAAAGCCCCTCGACCGTACGCAAGTAAGTGTTGCAAACGAGGATGGGCTCACCACCAGGAATGTGCACAACGGCTCCGATCGAACGATGCCTGTCGATGATGCGGCCTCCAGGAGGAGCGTGACATCCCAAAGAATTCTGAACCAGGATCCCAACCCCAGAAGAAGCACCGTGTCCCACTCCTGGAGCAGCAGGCCCAAGGATAGCTTTCCACCCATGCCGATGAGCCCAGCCAGTAGCCTCCTCCAGATCAGCCTCAAGCAGGTGGTGCTCTTGGATTAAGAGAACGTGCGCACCGCACTTGGGAAGCCAAGCCAAGCTTTGAGGCCGCCTCCCGAGTCAGATTGCCAAGACGTGACATTGGCGGTCTGGATAACAAGCTCAACACTAGAATCTCCAGGGCTGGGGTCGGGGGTGTGGAAGGGACAAAAACTTGGAAGCCTGAAAGCGTTCTACACCTTGGCCCGGCGCGGCCCTGGTAAAAACTTCGCGGCCCTCGGTGCCGAAAAAACCAGGGGGCCGTGCCGATGCCTAGGGTGGGGGCCGCCAGCGGCCTGCCGGGGGCAGTCGCTGTCCGACTTGGCGAGGGTGGCCCCCACAGCTAGCGACAGGTTGAAACACCTGTGGGCATCAGCCCATCGCGCGTCGAGGGGGCTCCGCGCTCCATCGACGCTACATTGATACGACCCAAAATGGGAAGGCGCTCTGAGACCGTGGATTTCGAAACCATCCGAATCAAAAGTGGGGGACGGGCATTGAGAACTCCCTTGGGCGCTCGCCGCGAGAGCGCTGGAACTGGCACGCGCATGCAGGCATGAATGCACGGCCAGACTAGGCGGTGGTTCCTCCCCGCACCCCGCCAGGGGCGGGGGAGGGAGATTGAAGGGCCTTCTCTGCCTTGGCCCGCGCATCGTCTGCAGCTGCTGGGGCTCCACCGCCAGCTGGAGCAGCGTCGGCTGCCGCCGTGCCAGGGGCGGAATCAGGTACCTCGCGCGGCTCACCTTCCGCTCCAGCATCTCCCCCTGCCGCTGCTCCCTGATCTGCGCGCCGCCGCTTGCTGGCAACCCGAGCCAGATGTTCTGGAGGTGCATCTCGGGCCGCTTTGGCGGCAGCCACCAGGGGGCCCAGCAGGTCTTTGGCCTGCTTGGAGACCCCAGCGTTGAGGTCGTCCTTCCGTTTGGCGATCTCTTCGCGGTCCTTGTCCTCGAGCTCTGCGTCGCCCTCGAAGAAACTGACCTCGTCCACTGTGAGGAAGGCGCTCAGGTCGAAAGTGTCGGCGCACAAGTCCTCCAGCTTGAGCTTGGCAGGGGCTGGGGCAGCGGGGGCAGGTGCCACAGCCGCCTGCTGCTGAAGCTCAGCCACCAGCGCCTTGTACTGCTGGTCGGCTGTGGCCAACTCCTCACGCATGGTGCGCACCGCGTCCTCAAGCTTGGCGATGTCGTTCCTCCAGCCCAGGAGCTTGTCCACCTCCCGATCCAACGACTACAGCGGCAAACTGCTGCTGCACACGCTGGTGGAGTGGTGTGGGAGGCTTTGGCGACTCCTGTGCATGCAGAATCTTGAACTCGGCCTCGTACTTGGTTGCTGTGGTGAGGTCACCTCCTTTCCGTGCGAGATCTGCCAGCTGCTTGGCCTCATTCGCGTTGAGCTGGCTCTGGGGCCCGACGGGGAGAGGGGGTGCCCTGGCAGCTGCGCCTCCAGGATGCCCACCTCCATGCCCAGCTCCAGCAGGCTGTCCAGGACCACCAGGGGGCCCAGGGAGAGGACGCGAGTGCTTGGCCCAGGGAGCCGCCGAGGAGAAAACACAAGGAGGGGCCTGCGACCACGCCCCGCTCTGTGGGGCCCCACCATCAACAGGACGAACAGCAGCGAGAGGCGCCCCACAATGCTTGCAGTAGCGGGCCGCCTTGGGGTTCTTCGCGCAGCCACAGGAGCTGCACTTGAACTCAGAATATCCTTCTGTAATCTTGTCCGAGTACATGTAGGCGCCGTAGTGCCAGGGGGGGGCGGCCGTGCCGCTGGACCAGTCCACGCGAACTCGTCCTTTGCCACGCCCGTCTCCTTTAGCACCACCATTGCGCAAGGCAGGCGGGGGTGTCATACACCCCGAAGTCAATCACTAAGAAGATCCGAGCCAGAAGGCCCGTTGACGCAGTGTGCCGCTCTGAAGTTCGCGTCAACAAGCACAAAACTTGTGCAAGAACGGCTGGAGGAGGAGGAGGAGGAGGAGGAGGAGGAGGAGGAGGAAGAGGAGGAGGAGGAGGAGGAGGAGGAGGAGGAGGAGGAGGAGAGGGCCGCACACTGAGCAACCGTCGCCACTTTCGCGAGCTCCTGGGAGGTCCAGCGGAGCGACGCGCTACGCGAACCCAGACTGGGCGTCGCGCTCCCTGGCGGGGCTGCCGACTGCGCGACCGTCGCCATATTCGCGAGCTCATGGGAGGTCGACAGTCCAACGGATCAACGCGCTGCGTGCGCCCAGGCTAGACCTCGCGCTGCTTGGGGAGCTGCTGTCTGCGCAACTGTCGCCACTTTCGTGAGCTCTTGGGAATTCACGCGGAGGGACACGATGCGCGCACCCAGAATGGATCTCGTGCTCCCTGACGAGGCTGCCGACGGCTCAAATGTCCCCGCCTTCGTGAGCTCCTGGGAGGTCCCGCGGAGCGCCGTGCCACGCGCACCCTAGGCTTTCCTTGCGCTCCCCGAGGGGGCTGCACGCTGCTCAATTGTCGCCACCCTCGCGAGCTCCTGGGGGAGGCCCAGCGGAGCGACGTCCTACGCTGACCCACACCAGCCCTCGCGCTCCCTGGCCCAGCAGTCTAGCACAGCTTCCGGATTGCTGGGCGAGCCGACACAAAGGTGACCTCCCGATCTACCTCTTCCCCTCCGCAACCCTTCTGTTGCATCCCTGGGGGACCTCGTCTGTCCCGTCGCGGCCGCATCCGCGTCGAATCGGTGCCAAATCCCTGCTGGACTCGTCGGATCCGTGTCGAATCGGTGTCGAATCCGCGTCGAATCCGCGTCAATCCGCGTCGAGTCCGCATCGAGCCCGCAACAGGTATGGCAAGAAACATCGTTGCGGGAAGCTTTCGGAGCCCACGTGCTCCTTCAGGTGTACCCTTTCTGGAGCGCAGGCATATTATCGCCCGCATCGTTTCCCTCCGCGGCGACTCGCCGTCCCAAGTTTCGTCTCCTTGCACGACACTGCTGTCAGATCCGCTGCAGTGTTTGGCGTCATGTGTCCGGCGCGACTCACTTGCGCCATCCGCACGGTCGGACACGTTGTTGCGCCTACGAACATGCAGACCCCTGGCGATTTCCCATCGACCAGAAGGCCAAAATGATCCGATCATTGCACCACTCCAAATCGTTAACTGTAGCAACCGGATCAGCCGGATCACCTGGATCAGCCGAACCGAGCCGCCAGACCAGCCAGATCAGCTGGATCAGCCGAATCAGCCGAGTTGGATGAGTCGGATCAACGGCATCAACCGGATCAGTCGGTCCACCCGGAGCACCCAAGTCAGCTGGATCATGGTACAGCATCAGCCAGCCGGAGCACCAGAGCAGGCAGGACTGCCCAGCGAACGAAGCCCATGCCCTGTTCCACATTTGGCGCGCCCCCCGGTCCTCCCACACACCCTCACCCAGACGTGCCATCAAACTGCTATAACAAATACTTCCCCTTCCGCCCTCCTCCCAAGGGCGCCGAGCAATTCAATTGAATTCAACCAGCGGCTTCTCGAAGACGGGCGCATCCAACCACCCTCTGCCTGCTCTCGTCACGCGTATTCCTCTTGAAACGGTGACCCGGGTGCTCCCGGTGTCCCGGGTGCTCCTGGACGCGTCGTGCTCTCCGGATGCTCCGGGTGCTTCGGGTGCTCCGGGTGCTCCGGGTGGCCCGGGTGCTCTGGGTTTTCCTCGTGCTCTGGGTGCTCCGGGTGCTCTGGATGGCCCGGGCGCTCCGGGTGGCCCGGGTGCTCCGGGTGCTCCGGGTGCCCCGGGTGCTCCAGGTGTCTCGGCTGAGGCTGGAGAGGAGACTCTTCTCGACTGTAAATGCCACCAGGCTTCTGAAATGAGGAACTCAAAGTAGAGAACTGCCCAAAGGCGCCTGCATGCGCGAGGAGGGCTAGAGGAACAGCTATGGAAGGTCCCAAGGAACATCGAGCTCCTTCCGAACCCGAACTGTTCCTTACTTCAGCGTCTTGGTTGTACGCTGGAGGTCTCGCGACGCCGTCCCCGCCCACTGCCAGGTCCCCTCAGCTCAGGCTGGCCGCACCAGCGCGCTCATCCTGAAGCTGGTTCTGTGGTGCGTGCCCTCCGCCGCCATGGCTTTCGCGGCCGCCCCTGCCGTGCGCACCTGGCTGCTCGAGCGCGCGTGAGCATCGCCTTTGCCGCGCTGCGACGGCAAACAGAGGCCTGGATCGTTCTCTGACGGCCCCGAGGCCCGGGAAGGGCCCCCCGAGGCCGAGAATCGCCAAAAACTTCCCGTCGCGATTTTTGCACAGCGCGAGGGGGCCATGGGGAGAGCCCCGAGGCCTCGAGGTGTCCCCGAAACAACCCCGGGCGGCCGCGTCAGCGCCTTGTGGCCCGCGGCGCCACGTCCTCGCGGACGACTTCCCCGCCGCGTGTCAGGGCTGTGGACAGGCCGCTCGGGCTGGCTTGCCGTCGTCGTCGTCGTCGCCGCCGTCGCCGCCGCAACCGCCGCCGCCGTCGCCGTCGTCGTCGCCGCCGCCGCCGCCGCCGCCGCCACCCCCGTCGTCGTCGCCGTCGCCGTCGCCGTCGCCGTCGCCGTCGTCGTCGTCGTCGTCGTCGTCGCCGCACCCGAGGCGGGCGGCGGCCGCGGCGGCCGCGGCGGCCGAGGCGGCGGCCGCGGCCTTCTCCGGCCCGCCTGCCGGGCGGAGGCCCGCCGCCCTCGGCGGGGTGCCTCTGCGGCCGCCCGGGGGCGCCGCGGCGCGGCGGCGGCTCCCAGCGCGCCTGGGCGGAGGGCGCGGAGGGGCAGGAGGAGGAGGAGGGAGGAGAGGAGGAGGAGGAGGAGGAGCAGAAGGAGGAGGAGGAGGAGGAGAGGAGAGGAGGAGGAGGAGGAAGAGGGAACACAAGAAGGAGGAGGAGAGGAGGAGGAGGAGGAGGAGGAGGAGGAGGAGGGAGGAGGAGGAGGAAGCAGAAGGGGGAGGAGTGACCGCCCCTGGGGAGAGTCCTGGATCCAGGCCGCACTGCTACGAGCTCGTGAGAAGCTCTCGCGCTCTGGCAGAGCACTTGGCGATAACCCTGCACCTGTCCTCCATAAACGGGGTAACGAGGGATTCCGAGCACCTGCCCTTCGATCGAAGGGAATTGAATGTGGATAACAAAAGATCAGCAGCAATACCTATACATAGAAGCTCTGGAGGACTGGAGAAACACATAGTATGGACAAGCATGCGCTCAGAAGAGGAAAGCTCCAAACAGCGGGCAGACAGGCTGGGTATACATTGGAGCAGAAGGAGGAGGAGGAGGAAGAGGGAGCAGAAGGCTTCTTGATCCGCTAGGCCTGCCCGACTTAATGAGTTGGCCTCTCAGCCTGCCTCAGTCGGCATCTTGACTCATCTTTTCCCCCGAGCCACCAAACGCTACAGCACTCTGGCTTAGGTAAGCCCGCGCAACATCAAAGGGAACAGAAGGAGGAGGACGAGGAGGAGGGGGAGGAGGAGCAAGAGGAGGGGCAAAACCCTGTCACAGTGGCCTCAACCGTATCACAAGAACGACTCACGCTGTCCTAAGAACAGCTGTCGCAAGAACAACGTTGCCAACCTAAGCATACGAACAGCCCTCTCGCATCACAAAAACGACTCGTACTTGAATCGCAAGAACAGACAACTTTGGAGGGGCCAGTGGGAGGAAGAGGAGGAGGAGGAGGAGGAGGAGGAGGAGGAGGAGGAGGAGGAGGGAGGAGGAGGAGGAGGAGGAGGAGGAGGAGGGAGCAGAAAGGAGCAGAAGGGAGCAGGAGGGAACAGGAGGGGTAGGAAACGGAGGGGAAGGGAGCAGAGGAGGGAGGAGGAAGAGAGGCAAGCGAAGGAGAAAGAAGAAGAGCCCAGCGCTTCTGTGGAGTTGCCTCTGCGGCCGCCCAGGGGGGCTTTCATGAGAGAGCCGACAAAAACAGCCAAGATCGTTGTTGCTACATTTCTTGCTTGCTGCTCATCCTCATCCTCCTCATCCTCTTCTCCCCATCTCCTCCTCCTCCTCCTCATCCTCCTCCTCCATCGTTATGATTATCCTCGTCCTCTTCCTCCTCATCTTCCTCCTATTCCTCCTCCTCCTCCTCCTCTTTCTCCTCCTCGTCCTCGTCCTCCTCCTTCTCCTCCTTCTACTCCTCTTCCTCGTCCTCGTCATCCTCCTCGTCCTCGTCCTTGTCCTCGTCCTCGTCCAGCTGGTCCTCCTCCTCCTCCTCCTCCTCCTCCTCCTCCTCCTCCTCCTCCTCCTCCTCCTCCTCCATCTCCTCCTCCTCCTCAGCCTCGTCGTCGTCCTCCTCATCCTCCTCCTCCTCCTCTTCCTCCTCCTCCTCCTCCTCCTCCTCCTCCTCCTCCACCTGCTCCTCCGCCTCATCCTCTTCCTCCTCCTCCTCCTTCTCATCCTCCTCTTCCTCCTCTCTCTCCTGACTCTCATGCTCTTTTCCTTCCCTGCTTGAGCACCAGCAGCATCTGGAGGCCAGAGCACAGCGTCTGCAGCGCCCCCCCCCCCTGGGGCGCGCCTCCTTGGTCTGAGGGTGGAGCCAGTATGGCCGCCCAGTGCTGGTCTCTGTCATCCTGGGCAGTGAGCGAGAATGAGGAGGACAGGAGGGTGAGGGGGGCAGGGGGGAGGACGAGAAAGGGCAAGTGGGACACGGAGGGAGGAAGATCACTGCGCCGACCTTGCAGACGTGCTGCAGCGGATTCTGCGTGGATTCCTGTCTATGCAAGACCCCTAAACGGCGAGCGAAAAAACGAAGTGAATGTCACGCGGATTGTTTGTAGTCTTCATTGCTGGCCCCAAAACACCGCACGAAATTCACTTTGACATGTGGAACGAAACTCTCCAGGACAATCCGGGCCCATCTCACTGTCTTCTGAACAAAATCCACTCTGCGATTTTGTCTCGATGGGGAGGACGAGGATGGAGCAGAAGGGACCAGGAGGAGCAAGAGGAGGGGGCAGGAAAACGAGGGGGAGCCTGCGGAGCAGGGGGGAGGAGGAGGAGCAGGAGGAGGGAGGAGCAAGAGGAGGGGGCAAGCGATGGAGGTGCAAAACAGAGCGATCGTCAACCGTGTTGCTAAGCCATCACGGCCCCCTCTGCACTGCTCCTCCTCCTCCTCCTCCTCCTTTTCCTTTTCCTCCCCCCCTGCCTTCGCCTCCTCTCTTCTCCTTCTCCTCCCCCTCCTCCTCCTCCTCCTCCTCCTCCTGCCACTCCCCCCGATCGTTCCCCCTCTTCCCTCCCCCCTCCTCATCCTCATCGTCATCCCTCCTCATCCCCATCGTCATCCCTGCTTCCCTCCCTCTCCCTGCTTCTCCTCAGCCGACGACTCGCCAGACGCGGCAAAGAACAAGAGCAGAACCAGGGTACTGCTCGCGAGCGCGGCGGCGCGACCCCGAGGCTCAGCCCGCGCGGGCCGGGCGGCCCCACACCGCGTGGTCTTTAAAGCGCTGCTTCTCTGCACTGGTCGAGCCCTCCTCGCTGTGTCACCTCTCTCTCTTTCTCTCTCTCTCTCTCTTTCTCTCTCTCTCTCTCGCTATCTCGCTCGCAGTCCAACCGTGAGACCCACAAGGCATGCGCACATTGGAGAGGGAAGGGAGTGGGGAGGGGGCGGGGGCTACCCTCCGCCGCCGCCGCCGCCTCACCCGCGGCCCGTCTGGCCCTCGGCCCGCCTCTCCCTCTCTTCCCATCGGCACCCTGCGGGCGAGGACTGCCCGGCCTCCGCTTGTCGAGACGAGGCCTCGGTGGCAGTCGCCGGGGCTGTGGCTCTCAGGCGGCACCGGGGAGGCGCAGCAGACGGGGGCCGTCCTCTCCGGGCGGCGCAGGCGGAGGAGTTCGAGCCCAGCTACGAGGGGGCCCAGGACTTGAAGGATGCAGGTGGGATCGAGATCGGCGGGTCCGAGGCCTCCGTCTACTGCAAGGCGGACTCCAAGGACGGGTTGGTCATGCTCCTCGCGCCGGAGATTGGACGGGAGAGCAACAAGCTGCTTGCGACCCAAGCCTTCGAGCACCCGCGGCGAACGTCCGTGACAAGAGGACAGAGCCAAGGCAAGCGTTGAGCTGGTCGGACCATCCCGGCCCGAGCGCGTCGAGGCCGGGGCCGAGCGCCGGGGGGGCGTCGGAGAGGCCCAGGGAGGGCGCGAAGACCGAGCAACGCCCTGGGAAGCCAAGCAGCCAGACAAGAGCAGCCGAGAAGGATAACGTCTTCAGCTGGCTCGCGGGGCGGGGTCATGACCAGCCCCAGCAAGCCAGACAGCCCCAGAAAGCCAAGCAACCAGCAACTCCAGAAAGTCTTCAATCTTCGCGGGAAGACCGAGCAGCCCCGGAAAGCCAGGCCGCCAGACAAGAGCAGCAAGAAGCATAACATCTTCAGCTGGCTCGCGGGGCGGGGTCACGACCCTCGTGAGCTACACATTCGGCCGCGTCGCTCGGGTGGTGGTACGCTGGCGCTGGGGTTCCTCGGGTGGCGGGCCTGGAAATGATCGGGGTTCGGCTCGCCCTACGAGTCCGTCGTCGCGGCGGGCGAGGCAGCCGAAGAAGCACAGAGGTACTACGAGATGGCCGAAGAGATGTACGAGAAGGGCGTCTTTGCGTGTGTAAGGTGTTGGTGCTCGAGCTTGTGCCTCATCTGCTACGCCTGGGGCTCTTCCGCCTGCCGTGTGCCTGGTGCCGACAGCGACACGGGGATCGAGGCCTCCGAGGGGGACTTTGTGGGTAGCACGTCGGTGGCGGACTCTGACGACGAACCAGACTGGAGGCACTTGTGCGCGGATCCCGCACGTGGGCAGCATCTGCTTCAGGTCTATGTCACATCCCGAGCCGATGGCAGGCGGAGGGATACAAGTCGGGGCAGCAACGAAGAGCTACGAGGAGGAAGACGAGGGCTAGGACCAGGATCAGGCGGGGGGAGGAGGAATGGGAGAAGATGGAGAAAAATGCGCTGGAGAGAGCAGTGCGAAGGAGGAGGAGGAGGAGGAAGATGGGAAGGAGGAGTCAGAGAGGAGGAGGAGGAGGAGGAGGAGGAGGAGGAGGAAGATGAGGAGGAGGAGGAGGAGGAGAACGAGGAGAAGGAGGAGGAGGAGGAGGAGGAGGAATGGGAGGAGGAGACGGAGGGTGGAGGATGCACCCACCGAGTATGCGGGGACAGAGGAGTGGGGGTTGGGTGAGGAGGAGGAGGCAGTAAACAGAGGCAAAGGCAGAGGCAGAGGAGGAGGAGGAGGAGGAGAAGGAGGAGGAGAAGGACGAGGAGTACTGAGTACTATAAGTACTGCTCTGGAAGGACTGTCCACATCGTCACGCGACTAGAATGCCTCTGAGCGTCGGCCTCACGGACTGAACGCCACAAGTGTGAAGGAGGAGGAGGAGGAAGATGAGGAGGAGGGAAAGCGGGATGAGACGAGGAGGAGACGAGGAGGAGAGCGACGACCGACGACGGCGACCGACGAGAACGACCGACGACGACGACGACGATGACGACGACGAAGACGACGACGACGAGGACGACGGCGACCGACCACGACGACCGACGACGACGACGCAGGCGAAGACTCGGCTCCTGACCCAGCCGTCGCCGTCCGTGCTATCCTCCGTGAAGGCCCCGCTCTGACGGGCCCCCCTGGCGGCGGCGACGACCGGCTGCCGCCCGGCGACGCCGCCGCCGCCGGCGGCGTCGCCGTCGCCCGTCGGCCGTCGCCGGCGGCGCCGCCGCCGGCGCCGGCGGCGGCGCACTCTTTGTGCGTGCTTCCCTCCAGCTCCTCGTGTTCCTCCTCCTCCTCCTCCTCCTCCTCCTCCTCCTCCTCCTCCTCCTCCTGCTCCTGGGTGTTTCGTGGTCCTCCTCCTGATCCTCGATTTCCTTCTGCTACTCGCGTTTTTCCTCCTCCTCGCTTTCCTCCTCTTCCTCCTCCTCCTCCTCCTCTCCTCCCTCCCCTCCTCCTCCTCCTCCTCCTCCTCCTCCTCCTCCTCCTCCTGGCTCAGCACCCGCCCGGCAGTGGAGGCTTGACCTCTCCTCGTGGACAGCCGTTCCCGTTCCCGTTCCCGTTCCCTCCTCCTCCTCCTCCTTCCTCCTCTTCCTCCTACTCCTCCTCCTCCTCCTCGCTTCCCTCCTCCTCCTCCTCCTCCTCGCATCCCTCATGCTCCTCGAGTTCTTGTCCTCTTCCTCCTTCTGATCCTCCTCCTCCTTTTCGCCATGCTGCTTACCAGGGGACACGGCACAGAGATGGGGAGAGAGCGAGAGGGTGAGAGAGAGAGAGAGAGACGGAGACAGAGAGAATAACCGCCAGGCTGTGAACAGTGCGTATGCCAGAAGCTTCCAAGGGGGCCATCGGGGACACACATGCCAGACGGCCGAACGCAAGGAGCGCTCGGCACTCGATAAGCGCCCTGTCAAGATGGAGCTGAAGCCCAACAACGCGCGCTGAATCGTTGGAGCACACACTCCTGTTTCAAGCGCTCAGGGTAAAACGTTCCTGATCAGAGTGGCAGTGGTAACGGCTTCAGATAAGGAGCCGTCTCAAGAAAATAGAGCGGAAAAAAAGGTTGAGGTGAGGTGAAGGGTGGAGGGAAGGAGGGGAAAAGGGGGTAAACCAAGAGTATGGAGGCAGGGAGCAGACGGGACGCGGGGGGGAGATGAAGGGAAAGCGAGGCAGAGAGAGAGAGAGAGAGAACAAAAACAAGCAAGAGAGAGAGAGAGAGAGAGACAGGGAGAAATAAGTAGAGACAGGTAGAGAGAGAGATAGAGAGAGAGAGAACAAAAAAAAGGTGAGGGGGGGCCATCCTCCTCTCTCATTCTCCTCTCCCTCCTTATACGTTCCTTTTGACTGCTGCTTCCCCCTCCTCTTCACCAGCTGCTCATTGCCCACGACGCCTTCCTCCTTCCTCCTTCCTCCTTCCTCCTGCTCCTCCTCTTCCTTAATCCTTCCTCCCTCCTTCCGCATCCCTGTTCCCGCTTCCACCTCCCTCCTCGCCCCCTCCTTTCCCCCGCCCCCCCAAGGCGGCGGCCTCCTTCCTCCTTCCCCTCCTCCTCCTCCTCCTCCTCCTCCTCCTCCTCCTCCTCCTCCTCCTCCTCCTCTACCCTTCCTCCCTCCTCTCCCATCCCTGTTCCCGTTTCCTCCTCCTCCCTCCTCGCCCCCTCCTTCTCGCCCCCCTCCCCCCCGAGAGGCGGCGGAGAAAAAAGTGGAGGAGCACGGGGGGAGGAGCCGCAAGACTGGGACGCACGACGACGGCAACGACGGCGGCGACGCCGACGCCGACTGATGCCACCGCCGCCTAACCCCGCGGCGGCGGCGACGAACACCGCACATCTGCCACGCAGGACCCGTGGCAGTGACAGCCGCGACTGCAGCCACGGCTGCCGCCCGCGACCGCCACGACCACGGCGACCACCGACGACGACGACGACGACGACGACGACGACGACGACGACGACGACGACGACGACGACGAGAGCGAGGACGAGGGCAAGGGCGACGACGGCGGCTGACGACCGCAGGGTCGGATCCGCAGGAAGCGGGCCCCAGGTGCAGGGGCGCCCCCCCCCCCCCCCCCCCCCCCAGGGCGAGTCCTCCATCGCTATCGGGT